TAAACGTTCCAACATCCGAATTATAGGGGTACCAGAAGGGGAAGGGGAAAAGCAACAAATTGAGCATGTATTTGAACAAATAATAAAGGAGAACTTCCCCAATCTGGCAAAGGGAACAGTCTTCCAAGAAATCCAAGAAGCTCAGAGAGCCCCAGAGAAGTTGGACCCAAGAAGAAACACACCAAGGCACATCATAATTACATTAGCCAAGGTAAAAACAAAGGAGAGAATCCTAGAAGCAGCAAGAGATAAGGGGACAGTCACCTACAAAGGAGTTCCCATCAGACTGTCAGCTCATTTCTCCAAAGAGACCTTACAGGCAAGAAGGGGCTGGAAAGAAATATTCCAAGTCATGAAAGACAAGGACCTACATCCCAGATTGCTCTATCCAGCAAAGCTTTCATTTAGAATGGAAGGGCAGATAAAGTGCTTCTCAGATAAGGTCAAGTTAAAGGAGTTCATCATCACCAAGCCCTTATTTTATGAAATGTTAAAGGGACTTATCTAAGAAAAGAAGATAAAGAAAAAACACATATAGTAAAAGGACAGCAAACTCACAATTATTAACAACCACACCTAAAGCAAAACCAAAAGAAACTAAGTAAACAATTAGAACAGGAACAGAACCACAGAAATGGAGGGCACATGGAGGGTTAGCAGCAGGGGGGTGGGAGGAGGAGAGAGGGGGAAAAGGTATAGAGAATAAGTAGCATAGAATGTAGGTTGAAAATAGATAGGGGGAGGGCAAGAATAGTACAGGAAATGTAGAAGCTAAAGAACTCATAAGTATGACACATGGACATGAACTAAAGGGGGGAAACGTGGTGGGAGGGGGTACAGGGTGGAGGGGAGAGAAGGGGGAAGTGGGACAACTGTAATAGCATAATCAATAAAATATATTTTAAAAATTGTGAAAATAGCATAATCAATAAAATATACTTTTAAAATTTTTAATAAAAAAAGAAAATATTGGATAAGAACTTCATTCCTTAAAAATATCTTCTTCCTTCAGAAGGGATTCCATTCAGAAGAAAAATGAGAACGACTTCAGGGAGAGATGAAATGTATTTACTTGTTTATTTACACATATTTATTTTAGTTTTCTCATTGTTTTATTTTATGTAGACTTTGAATTGCAGATTTTTTTTACCTTATTACATTAAGTACAGATGATATATAATATCCTGTTAGTTTCAGGTGTACATCATAGTGGTGCCATATTTATATACATTACAAAATGATCCTCACAATAGGTCTAACTACCATCTGTCTGCATGCAAAGTTATTACATTATGAATTGCAGATTTTTTTCAAAGTAAGAGATGCACACAGTTAAATATCAGCACTCTGAAGGACCATATTAACCAACTTATGACTTGTCTATCTCCATTGAAGTGACACTAACTAGTGATAGCCACCTTCACCAATTTTGTTTTAATACCTCTATAAATAAGATGACTAAACTTCTATTTCAAGAATCACATAATTTAGATATCAATTACTGACTTCTTGTTTTGACTTATATACTTTAATCATATACAGAGATGGAATTTGAAATGGAACTTGAAAAATGGGTAGGACTTACACATATGACAATTGGCCCCATATGCAGTCTAAGAAGAATGAACAGAACAGCCCCTACAGGAGCTGGAGAGGGAAGAACATGTGCAGGAAGCAAGGACCGTGGGATAAGAATAAGGTAAATCTGAAGCAAATCCCATGGAAAGGACCTTGTTTGATAGAAGACCCTGGAAACCTCTTGAGTAAAGAACAAACAAGAACTGGGCTTGAAGATTAATTTATACAGAAAAGCATAAAATAACCCAGATAAAGGTGAGATGAGAACCTGATTCAGCTAGAAATAAACAGATACTGATAGATAGAAAAGGGAAACTATCAAATATATGAATGTATACACAATATATAATACTGTATACAAATGTCAAATCAAAAAATTTTAAAAAGACCTGTGAAAACCAAATAATACTAAATTTAAAAACTGAGTAAATAAACTTGTAGATTAAACACTAATATTCACAAAAGAAATAAAAAACCTACAAGAACAGCTACTAAGCAAATCAAAATGGAACCCAAAGTTGTCTTCAGAGAAAAAGAAATTGAAGCCTGAATGGTCTGATAGGTGAGGTCTGCCAAACTCTCCAGTAAAAAAAGACGACCCCAGTCTAAATTGCTCCTGAAAAGAGAAAAGGAAAAACTGTCCAACTTGTTTCATAAGTCTATTAGAACTTTGAAACCAACATGTATTAAGAACTGTACCAATCCTGGCTTGGTGGCTCCACTGGTTGAAGCATCATCCACACACCAAAAGGTTGCGGATCCAATTCACACAACTGGGCATAGCATATTGGAGGCAACCAATTGCTATTTCTCTCACATCAATGTTTCTCTCTCTCTCTCCCTCTCTCCAATCAAAAAACATCCTGGAGTGAGGACTTAAAAAAAAACAACTGTACCATAGTTAGCAAAAAAATAGAAAAGTGGCAATACCATCAAAGGAGAACCCATAGATGTTGGCTACAGACAAGACATGATGGAATAAGAAAGGGCTGGGTTTGAAATGACAACAGAAATAAGAAACACCAGGGAAACAAGTTTGGTAAGGAAGAGGAGCTCAGTTTGAACCAGAACAACCAGATAAAGATATGCATAAAACAGTTGGATATACAGGGATTCAAGTGTAGAAGAGAAAAAAAGGACAGAGATTTGAGAATTATTCAGACAGAAGGGTCTACACAGTAATGTCAAAGGATTAGAGAAATACACAAGTGATCTGAAAGGTGAAACTTGAATAATACATATTAATCAGGAAGAAGGAAAAACAGAAAGCAGGAAAGGGGCAATGAGAAACAAAGTACTATGTCAAAAAAAGCCCTCCTATCGTCTAGTTAATTCTTACTCATCCTTCAGAGCTGCCTGGGCTTCAAAGTAACGTTTCTTAAGGAGGGCTTTTCAGATTCTCCCAGTACAGCCAGCACCAGGTCAGGTTCTCTAAAATTTTAAACTCTTACGATATTCTGCACTTTAAATTACAATCATATCATGTTTAATTGTAGAAGTCATTCTTCTTTAATTTTTATTTATTGATTGGAGATAGGAAGAGAGAAGAGAAAAACATTGATTGCTTGTTCCACTTATTTATGCATTCATTGGTTGATTCTTGTACGCCCTGACAGGGCTCAAACCTGCCATCTTGGTGGAGGGGGACAATGCTCTAGTCAACTGAGCTATGGGCCCGGGTTTAGAATTCATTCTTCAATATATGTTTCCCCCACTAGACTAAGCTCCATAAGGGTAAGGGCCATACCTGTTATTGCAGCCTATTATCTTGCATGGTATGTCAGAATATAGTATTTGTTGAATGAAATGGACAGATAAACAAAAACCAAGAAAAGGAATTTCAAAATGCTACAGAAAGCTGGAAGATCTGACTCAGAAAATGGCCTTAAACGTGTTGATTAGGTTAGAATTGACCTTTGTGAAGGTGAAATTCAGACAACAATGGGTTAAGAAGAGATGGCCAGGAAGTAAAGGTAGGAAAAGTAGACTACACTTGGCAATCTCTATAAATAAGACTATGAGGGAATGAATTTAATTTTACGTCAATTTTTTTCTATTTTATAATTATTCTTTAATGAACATGTATTACTTTTTATAAGGGCAAAATTTTTTAATGTTCATATATTTGAAAAGAAAAAGCAATAACAAGACAGCTTTGAGGGAGTGATTGACTCAAGGGAAGGTTTTTGAAAATTGAGGTAATTTTTTTAACCTTTTTAAATTTTTCAATAACTGACATTTGATATTACATTACAGTTTCAGATGTACAGCACAGTGGTCAGACATTTAAATAACTTAAAATGCGATCCCTGGATAATTCTACTATCCACATAACACTACTGTTATTACATATGTTATTGACTATATTTCCCAGGCTGTATTCTACATCTCCATTACTAGTTTGTAACTGCCAATTTGTACTTAATTGTAAATTATGGGAATCTTAAGCACACTTGTCCTTTTAAGAACCCTAAGATAAAAGAGAGGACAACTCATACTCCATGAAGTAGGAAAGAAAAATGAGACAACGTGTTAACTAATAGAACTTTTCAAAAATATTCTTCTACTGAGATGGAAGGAAAGGAGATGAAAAAAGGAATCCAATCAGTTCTGAAAGGAGTTCCCATTGGATGCCTAAAACTTTTCAGTAAAGGGTTTGGAGAAGTGAAGAAAGTAGAAAAGGTTTGAAATAAGCTCCACAGAGAATGTGCAAGGGGGGAAAAAAAAACAGGAATAGAATACTGGTTCTATTAAAATGGCATTCTAAATTTCAATCAGCCTTTTGGAAACTCAACCTATTTCTAGCTCAGAACTGCCTGTATTTTAACTTTAAGTTTAAATATATAAATCTGTCTGCAAAGTTTTTATTTCAAAAACTGAAAACAGTGATAGGCATTAAGTTACCTTCTATTGTTACTTTAATTCAGAATTTAACTCCTCTTACAAGTAAATTAAAAAAGTTTTCAACTCAAGGAACAAAATAGCGATCATTTCAACTGTAACTGAAAAGTGCTCCTAAATGTAGTGTTTGCAGAAAGAGGATTTTTGTTGTTTTTAACTCATCCTTATGCCTCACTTTAACAGTTCGTGAATAGTAGTAAAGAAAACCCTGGATTCAAATCGCAGCTCACTTAGACAAGTTATTTCACTTCTTTGCGTCTCGGTTTTCTTGAGGGAAAAATGAGGAATACAATAACCAATGTTGCCTTAAGGACTGAATGACATAACAAAGGTGAATGTGCCGAGTTCGTACTATACACTGAGAACAGTTTGCTGACCGTTTAAAAGAGAAAACCTGCAACACTCTGATCAAATTAAAACATCCAAGAACCAAGTCACAAAACGCAAGACCCTAACACATTCTTTTTCTTGCCTGACACAAGCTATCTTTTTTTCCTTGTCAAACTTTCCCACTACGAGTCTGGAAAAACAAAAAAAAGCGTTACATTCGATCCAGCAGAAACTTTTCTGAAACCGAAGTGCAGTATCACAACAGACATGGCAGCGAAGGCAGCGCGGGACAACAGGTGAACCTCGGAGAACCTTGGCACCTTCCCGCGGACAAGTAGCTTTGAGGGAGGGCTTGCAACTCCTTCCGGCGCTACCACCCCATGAAACAGGCATTCTTCCCCCCCCCCCCACCTTTTTTTTTTTTGGCAGAAGCCTACAGAAACAAGTCGCGAATATCTACCTCGCAGCTCCTGGACAAAGGTGAGTGCTTTCGCATTTGAGGATTCAAGAAGCGTCCTTTGAAGCGGCTTTCGCCCCACACCGCCTCCCCAAACTCCGCCTGAAACCCGGGAAACAAAAGAGGGGCCGGGCGGCCGCCAAGGCCCAACGCTGGGCGTCCAGGGCCCCAGGGTAGGCGACGACCTCAGGCTCGGGCCCGGGGTAAGGGTAAGGGACGGCGGAGCCCAGTAACCCGCGGCTTGGTACAGCCGGTACGACGGGACACCATGGGACCACCAGGCCGGGGCACCCCCTTCTCGGGCCTCCCACACGCGCCCAGCTCCCTCCGAAACTTCGCAGGGAGTCCGCACCCACCTCCCAGTCGCAGCTGGCCTCTCCCGGTGTGCACACGCATTCTCCAGACGAGTCAACTTACCCAGACTCCAGGGAACTCATCCACCAGCCCTCGGCGTGAAGCGGGGTGGGCGCGGCGAGCCGCAAGGACGCGACCAGGGCCTGGCTCGGCCTCTGCCCTTGGCGTACCGCAGCCTTGCCCCGGTTGTCCCCGGAGCTGCGGTCAGATCCTCGTCTCCGCCGGACAGACGCGCCGGAGCCCAAGCCGTCCTCCTCCCTTTTCCCTCCTCCCTGGTCCTTCACCGAGCTCCAACAGGCGGATTCCAATCTCAGCAGAAGCCGCGGCAGCCAACACTTGCACCGTGGGGTGGTGGGGGGGGGTTAGCGGGGGGGGGTGGGTGCCGGGGCTCAGGGCTTGGGGGGAGGGGCAGGCCTCCACTAGACTGGGGCTGCGCGCGCGCACTGGGAGAACTCGGGACCCGCCCCGCCCCGCCCCGGATGCGAAAGGAGCCGAGCGTGCGGCGGAAGCGTCCGAAGGGTCCTCCGGTCCTTGGCGCCCCGTTGCCGGGGAGGAGGCCCAGCCGCCGGCAAGGGGGCGCCGGGCTGCTGTTGGGAGAAGGAGGGGCTTCCCCTTCATGCGGCCCCGCGGGCCTGCCTTCACCAAGCAACATCACTGGAGTAGTAGCGGAACGGCTGGTGTCCGGTAGCCGCGTCGAGTAGACGCCTGGTGCTGCGCCCTGGCTGCACCCCCTCGAACCTTATTTTCTGGTGGGTCCTTCGCGTGGTCACCTCCAACAAACTAATACTCCTCGGGAGCACCAGTAGGTCCGCTGGTGCAATAAGTCTGATTGCTCAGAATCCACACACCGCAGCGTGGAGGCCAAGAAAAGAGAAATGTAGGCACACTATTCGTTATTCTCACCGCTCCCCGGCTTTTCTTTCTGGTCTCTTTACCCCAAGGTGCAGGTAAGACCCACTTCAACTGAGCTGCAGGGCACAGAAGCATTTACGCTTGGGGCCCGGGAGTTCCGAGGCCCGGGCTGCCGGGGCCCTGTGATCTGTGAGCCGTGAATTCCAAAGGCGTAAGACGAGTGGCGTTAACCCAACATAACTGAAGTCAGTGCACTATAAATATTGCTCTCTTCTCCAGCTTTGGCTCACTTTAGTGACCTCGTGTACCCTCCGGAGTTTCATTCCCCCCGTTTGGAAAATGTAAATAGTTGTCCTTATTTCTTGTCTTCCATTTCCCTTCATTCTTTGTGGAAAATGCTGTTAAAATTATAAAATGCTGTGCAAGTGAAGAAAGAGTATAGACCCCTTTTTAACGCCAGATGTGGACTTAAACTATGGTAAATATTTTAACGAATGTGTCACGTTAAGCCTTTTTAGAAAAGATACTTTTTCTTAAAGGACCCTTTGTATTGTAAAATCACTTTTTTTAAAGATTTTATTTACTTATTTTTAGAGAGGGAAGGGAGGGAGAAAGAGAGAGAGAGAGAGAGAAACATCAATGTGCGGTTGCTGGGGGCCATGGCCTGCAACCCAGGCATGTACCCTGACTGGGAATCAAACCTGAGACACTTTGGTTCCCAGCCCGTGCTCAATCCACTGGGCTACGTCAGCCAGGGCTCGTAAAATCACTTTTTAAATTACCGGTAAAAAGAAAGAAGGAAAAGAATGTGTCAGGCACTAATAGTTATTTTTATACACGTTATTCCTAAAAAAAAAGTTTAGATTCCAGAATAGTCCCTCATATTCTTGTTTAAATGTCTGAATTCCCTGACATTCTTGTTGAAAGATTTTTTTAAACCATCTTTTATTCTCCCTCTCTTTTCTCCTCGTACCCACCTTTGCCTTTAATAACTCAGATACTCTCTGTAATTACAAATTATTTTTCAATTCTATTTACTCTTTTTTTTTAATCATAGCTATCTCAGGTTTGATAGTCGTGGGTTACAGTATCTTGCTATGTGGGAAGAATGTATGATACAGTGAGTTTCTTTACATCAACTAAAATTTGTCACTTCGAATTTTCTACATAACCACATCACTTTAATTTTAGGGAAAAGGCTGGATCTTTTGCTCAAGGAAATTCAGCTGGATTGACCAAAGAACTCGTTGATCTATGATGAGCAATGTGTCATGACAGATAAAACTATGACAGGTGTGTTAATATACTCTTTATAACCTAATTCAATTTTCAGACACATTAATCAGTCTATAAAATAGGCTAGAATCTCAGGTTGGAACTTTAGGTTTTACTCTATGAAATTACCTTGTTCATTTGGTTATTTGTTTATAGTATCATTTGAGTTTCTCTGCCCCTCTAGAATGTAAATTCCATGAGAGCAAAAACCTTGCCAATCTTGTTCTCAACTGTTTCCTCAAAGCCTAGTTCCTGGCACATAACAAGTGCTCAATATTTGTTAATTAATGAGAGCAATAAGGATAAAATTTCCTCTAAGCATTTCTGAAACTTGTCATCAAGACCCAGTTTCAGAGGGTGGCATGAACTATGTTAAAAAGGGTAAGAGTGGATCAAGGAAGCTATGGATTACACATTCTTCAGTGAAACAAGGACTTCCGCTTTCAGGGAAAGCAGTAATTCAATAGATTAAATCAAGTTAATCCATCCAAAGTCATTTTTCTCATAAAGACTTTATGAGGCAAAGGTGGGTATGGAGATAAGTCAGAGCCCAGTGAAAGGATGCCCTGACAGGGTGATGCTTGATGTTGGTTTCATGCCTAGTATTAAATGGACAAAAGCATTGTGAAGAGTAGAGAAACAGGTACATTTTTTTAGCATGGACACTATTAGGTCATTTTATTGGTTAACAGTACCCAGTCATGGTTTAGAAGGACCAAGCCAAAAAAGAAATTATGTTTAAGAAAAAGATGGTTATGTACAAATCTGCCTTTTGACCCAGTATTTCCATTGCTAGGACTATATCCTAAAAACCCTGAAACACCAGTCCAAAAGAACCTATGCACCCCGATGTTCATAGCAGCACGATTTACAATTGCCAAGTGCTGGAAGCAACCTAGGTGCCCATCAATAAATGAATGGATCAAAAAGCTATGGTCCATTTACACAATGGAATTCTATGCAGCAGAAAGAAAGAAGGAGCTCCTACCCTTCTCGACAGCATGGATGGAACTGGAGGGCATTGTGCTGAGTGGGGTAAGCCAGGTGATAAAGGGCAGGTGCCATGTGATCTCACCTTTGACGGGAATCTAATCAAAACAAACAAATGGGCAGGATATGGCCAAAGACACTGAAATAGTGGACTAGCTGACTATGACCAGAAGGGAGAGTGGAGAGGGGAGGGAATTTCAGGGGAAGGGGGAGGGGTTTGAAGAAACTAGTATGGGGGACACATGGACAATAACAAAGGGTGGGGGGTGGGCTGGGATGGGGGTAAAACTTGTTGTTCAAGGCAGAAAACTGTACTTGAACAACAATTAAAATAAAATAAATGAATAAAAATTCACATCAACAATAGCAAATATTTTTTTACATCTGTTCTAATTGATTTATATGTATTATTTTGTTTCAACAATATAGTATGGTAGGTTCTACTGTTAATCTCATTTTATTGATAAGGAAACTGAAGTACAAAAGCTTAAGTCATTTGCTTTTGAGGTTTTTAACCTGAGATCTAGTTTCCATGGGTAGAATTCAGGGTATCTGAAAATTTGGATGGGGAAAAAGTAGGTATTTATTTCCAGTAACCTGAAACTGAATTTTAGCACTTTATCCAACTATGAATATATGCAGAACAACACAATAACAGTAAGAGTGTCTGTTACTTCTCCAATGATAGAATTTAGATAAAGTTTTATGTCACTTTTCATTTGTTGAAGATTTCTTTTTTCTTTTTTAATTTAAATTATTTTATTGTTATTCAATTGCAGTTGTCTATATTTTCTCCCCAATCCTCACCTCCCCACCCCCTCCAAACCCACCTCCCTCCCTTGCTTCCACCCTCCCCCTTGGTTTTGTCCATGTGTCCTTTATGGTGGTTCCTGAAAACCCCTCTCCACACTATCCCCTCCCCGCTCCTCCCTGCTATTGTTAGATTGTTCTTAATTTCAATGAGTCTGATTATATTTTCTTTGTTTTTTTCTTTTGTTGGTTGTGTTCCCATTGAAGGTGAGATCATATGTTATTTGTCACTTACCATCTGGCTTGTTTTGCTTGGCATAATGCTCTCCAGTTCCATCCATACTGTTGCAAAGGGTATAATCTCCCTGAAATAACACTGATGCTCATAACCTTTTTGAAATTATGATAAATATTAGAATCACTTTTGGCCCTTATTTACTGATTTACTGCATTAGTGAAGAAGCAAGATGCACATTTATTTATTACTTAATACTTAAAAACTGTATTTCAATTATTTTTTTGAATTTTGTATAGTCTTTGCAAAGATCTGTGGTAATTGACATGAAATCTATGTTACCATATTACTGTGCAAAAAAAAAAAAAAAGAAGTGACTTACAGCCCTTCACTTGTGTTTGAAGCCTTAGCCTATTTACCTGCATAGAACTTGGTTTTCTCTGCCTATTGTCTTGACTCTGCTCTCTTGAGTCTACCCTGGCCTTGCAACACAGACTTTGCTGTGTACTAATAAATACCTCATTCCCCTGGTGGCAACCCTTACTTGCCTTCCACTCTTTGTTCCTAATTTCTCTGCATCCATATCCTATCCAACTATAGGGCCTCCTTCCCCCCATTACCTGATGCTTACTGCTTCCGGGAACTACCACCTGTTTGTTTGCTCACTGCTGTCTGGCTATCAGGCATGGCCTAGAAGGCTGGAGTTCCTCCCACAAACACCTGGAGCTGAGACTTCCCCACCCCAGCTGCCACTCAGTCCATGGTAAATCTTCTCCATCTTGTGCAGTTCAGCACCCTCACCACCCTGCCTTCCTCTGTCCTGAGAGCAGAAGATTTATGACTTATTACATATTACTTATTTTTAACCAAATAAAAATAAAAAATCAAAGTGTAATAAGTGTATACTTATGTGTATGTTTTTATTTACTCATGTACATGATATTTATACATATATGTATATATGTAAACAATGCAAATGTGATTCTACTTTCTACTTCAAAACACCAATTCATGAATTCCTTTGGGACTAATAGTCCAGAAGTAGTTTGAAATGTTGAGCTTCTAGGTTTTTGATATATAATCTTAGTAATTCACAATCCTTGAATAGCCACGTTATGAATGTTAACCACAAAAGCAGAGACAGTGCAGTTTAACTGTGTATAAACACATAAAACAAACAAAAGTGAATAATTTATGATTCAGTCATATTAAGTTTAGGAGAAATACTAGGATCAAGTCACATGCTTGGATTATGTTACAAATAAAAATTAACTCTCTGACAGTTGCTTATGCTGAAAATGTGTGACGACAAAAAGAATTGAATTTTAGGTGCTACACATTTTTATTTTAGAAGAGTGAAACTAAACAATCATAAAAATTTCAACAGTGCAGTAGAATGATTTTAGATCTATCCCGGAAGTTGAACAATAGTACTTGTTGCTTATGGGGCCATCAGGAAAAGCCAGCTGTGGGTTTCTTTCTGGTACAATTAATTGCTTCCGCTGTATATAAAATTGAAAGAATTGGGTGCTTTAGTGCGGAAAAAGGATATCCTGCTACACTGCTCCTACTTCCTCAGAAGGGCTATTATTGAGCCTTTTGCCATTAATTCACATGCATTGGATTACCCTGTGATGAAAGACCAAGAGGCTTTTCATTTTTATAGTCTCTTATCTCCTATTTAGTTGGACCTCTCTGGAGATACCTGCTCTTCTCCTAAGACTGGTTAATTGCTAGGGTGTCAGAAGGTAAGTAATGACTGACTTCCTTTTTAGAGACTAATTGTGAGCTCATCTCTAGAGTTGTTTTTTTTTGTTTTGTTTTGTTTTTTTTTGGAGTGGCCTTCCTCATTGCTGAGAAGTATTCTAAGTTCTGTCATAAATTGAAATGATAGATGTGACATTTTCAATGCCAACTTTCAATGCCTGCCCATCGTACACCTTGAGACCAGCAAGTGACTCTTCTATAAATTGTCTGTATAGACCTTTATTGTCCAATACACTAGCCACTTGTTATGTGTGGTTATATAAAATTTAAATTAGTTAAAAGTAAATAAAGTTAAAATTCAGTTTCTTAATCTAAGCCTATTAAGTGCTGGATAGCCACATGAAGTTAGTGGCTACTATATTGGAAAAGTAAGGATAAAGAACATTTCCATTTTCACAGAAATTTTTGTCAGACAATATTGGTATAGATTGTGACCTACTCAACTCAGACCCCATAAACAGTATTTGGGCCCATCTCCTGAACTGATGTTTCTGTTCTCACCAAAGCAAATGGTGGAAAGACTAGTACTTTCAGGGATCATTGCTATAGTTTGTTACTAGAGGAGTTTCTCTGAACATGCAGAGCATCAGAAATGGGGGTTGCTGTTCAACACGTATGAAGTTACAGTATTGTAAGTGTTCCTTTTTTTTTTTTTTTTTTTTTTAGAAGGAGAGAGACGTTAATGTGTGGTTGCCTCTCACACACAACCCCAGCTGGGGACCCAGCCCACAACCCAGGCATGTGCCCTGACTGGGAATCAAACTGGTGACCCACTGGTTTGTAGGCCCACACTCAATCCACTGAGCTACACCAGCCAGGACAGTATTGTAAGTGTTCTTAACCACAAAATAAAAATTTTAAGTGGTAGAAAGTTGGTCAGTATTCTAATGGTGATTATCTCCATGTAGTAGAACTGTGATTACTTTTTTCTTCTATTTGTTTTTCAGATTTTATTTAATAAGCACATGTTCTTTTTTCAATTAATAAAAGTTTCATTTAAGATCCTTAAACCTATTCATTTATTTTATCACCAATTTCAAAGTAAGATGTTTTTACCCGTCCCTGTCTCTAAGGGAGAAAATAGTCATATTGATCGATGAGAGATCTATGTTCTCTCCTATCCATCCTAGCATGAAAAATATTAAAAGAAGCTACATTTGGGTGCCCTGGAGCCCTGTTAAATAGAATCACAGAACATCCCTCTGGAAGAGATAACTCATGAGCTCCAGCAATCCTCTCACCCAGGCATTTGTTGGGTATTTTGCCAGGATTCATACATTTCTAGACGACAGTCCAGAGTCTGCAAATTAAGGCCCAATAGATTAAGGAGGTTCATGGAGCAGAAGAGGGTTTCAGTTTTACCTCTGAGAAGAGAACCATAAAAAGAAGTCCTCATTTCCTAAAAGTTCAGGCATGATCGTACAGGTTTAATTAGGAACAATGAGCTGTTTACAGCAAATTATAAACTGTATAAAGCAGACCACAATGGACACTCTCAAAGGATGTCCCATGAACCCTCACTTCTCCAAGTCAAGATTCAGCAGATCTGGCTTGGTGAGGCAGAATGCTGCAATTCCAGCCAGAAGAGTGTCCCAGAAGTCCCTTTCCAGAACTTTCCATGACCAAAGAGATGACCAAAGAGTACGTGGAAAGCCTCTTGTTTTTCTTTCATTTCATCCTTAAAACCTGAAGCCAGTCCACTCTTTTCTCAACTGGCACTACATGCACCCTATAGAGAGACACTTCAGAAACAGACTAAGCAGCACAATTTGGTGGGAAGAACTCCAACTTTGAAATCAGAATTCTGTCTGAACTGATTAATTTTTTACCTTGGACAGAGTTTGTCAACATCTCTGAATCCCAGTTTCTTCTATAGAAAATAGGGATAAATAATATCAAGCTAATGTGACAGATATGAAAATGAACTGAGAACATATGGAAAACAGTTGGTATGGCATCAATACTCAATTTTAGTTACCTCATTTTTTTCTTCTAGAAAGTGATTGTCAATTAGCGTTTATGTTGAAGAGGACAGAAAACAAACTGTAAAACTCAAAATTTTAAAGTATTAATAACATTTTTGTTAAAACAGCAAACAAATATGTGACTTTTTCGAAAAGGCCACTGCTTTAAAGTGCTCTTATCTCTGGCTTGAGAATCTATTTTGCTTTTGAAGGTCTTTCAGTGAAACTTGAGCACTCTTGTGAGATGACAATAGCAAAAGTGTATATGTGGACAAAACATTAGTAATAGCATTTAAAGAAGCTGCCCAGACCCACCAGTTCTAGGTCTGACTGGGTTAATAAGAGATACAGCTGTGGAAAAGGAATTCACATCTATTTTTTCTGGATGTGGACCCTAGGGTAGCACCACATTTTGAGCTTGTTTTTTCTTTCCTGGTGAATCTAGAGCCATCATATCACAAGCAGAGTGTTTTGCTGATGGAAAAGCTAAATGATGTTCTGTTTCTAGATATTTAACATAAAGTTCTGAAATAGAACTGTTGCCAGGGCTGGTGTGGCTCATTTGGTTGGAGTGTAGTCTCCTGCACCAAAAGGTTAGGGATTCAATTCCCAGTCAGGGCACATACCTAGGTTGTGGGTTTGATCCCCAGTTGGGGTGTGTATGGGAGGCAACCAGTTGATGTTTCTCTCTCTTTCTTCTTTCTTCTCTCTCCAAAATCAACAAAAATATTTTTAAAATTTAAAAAAAGAACACATAAGCATGGGCTGCTGCATTGGTCCCAGATGTGTGTTAGGAACACTTTTTGATGCAAGCCACGCGGTCATCCACATAGTAGCACCACCTTAATCTTCATTGAACAACTCCATTTCTTCACTTTTGATACCCAAAGTGCTTTCTATTATAATGCTTCACGACATTCATGTTCTGGTGTTTGAAAATATGCCTTAAAGAGGTTTCTCATTTGGATTCTGTCAACTTTTCCTTCTGTGCTACTTAGTAAGTTTATCAATTTCTTTTGTACCTCATCCAGCACTTCCTGTTGGACATAGCTTTTTTTAAATTCTTCAGCTCTTCCTTAAGATCTAAGCCAGCATTTGCTTTCTACAGATGTCCCTTTAACACCACCAGTTTTCCTTCTAGACTGTCTGCCTTCTCCATCTATTCAACTACTATCAACTTCAAGTTGCTAATCTGGTTTTCTTGTTCCCAAGAGAGAGAAAGCTTTAGTGCACTTTTATCTCTCCTTAGTGACAATGTTTGATTGTTGCTGCAATGAATGTACCTGGAAACTGGCTTAATGGCTTGCCTTTTCCTTTGCTAGAAGATGATTTTAATGTTTCATTCAGTACTGTGACATTGTTTCTTAGTTTAGCTGCTCTATCTTCTGCAGTCCCAAGTTCTGGCAAAGGAGAATCTTTTGGTTCTAAAACATGGTTAAGGACTTCTGGCCAAGATGTAGGCATAGGTAGATCCATTGCCTCCTCACACAACCAAAAGAAGGAGAACAACAAATTTAAAAACAAAAAATAACCAGAACTGCCAGAAAATCAAACTGTATGGATGTTCAATAACCAAGGAATTAAAGAAGAAACATTCATTCAGACTGGTAGGAGTGGCAGAGACAGGCAGCCAGCACAAAGAGGACATACGGCAAGGTGGTGGTTGGAGCACCAGGAGGGTGAGATGCAGTGGCTTAGTGGTCCCACATTTGCATGCAGATAAACCAGGAGGAACAACTGGGGAGCGAGACAGATCTCACAACCCAGGGTTCCAGCATGGGAAACTAAACCTTCAATACCTCTGGCTGTAAAAACCTATGGGGATTGCAACAGTCAAAGAAACTCCCAGTTTCACAGGAAAGTCTGTTGGAGGGGCCCATGGGGTCCTAGAATGTACACAAACCCACCCACCTGGGAATCAGCACCAGAAGGGCCCAATTTGCTTGTGGGTAGCAGGGAAAATGACTGAAAGTAGGGAAAGAGCCAAGCAAGCATCATTGTTCCCTCTCTGACCCCTCCCTCACATACAGTGCCAAAACGCAGCAAAGCAGGTTGCCCCACCCTGGCAAATACCTGAGGCTCTGCCCGTTACAA